ACTACATCTATTTTCCTGTAATTTTAGACTGGTGAAACAGGAAGAATACAGACTCACTGCAGAACAGACAGAGAGAAGAAAATCACACGCCTCTCGCAATGCAAGATCAGATATTGAGATGTGTGCTGTGAATCTGATCAGATTCAGCTGATGAGACGGTGGATACTGAATCTCAAATACAGTTAAAAAAGATCAGTAGATCAGGTGTGTGTATCTAGTTTTTTTTCATAATAAGAGTATACTTTTAAAAGCATTACAAACTCTTAATGAATGAACTTTTGAGAAATGAATAATAAATGAGAATAACTGACTTAGACGTATATTTGAGTGTGGTCGGCTTCAGTGCCGCTGTCATTAAAGTGTGTTCTGTGTGTATGTAATGTATAGCATATCGTTCCAATCCAAATATATTCATAAATCAACATTTTATGACACTTTGCTAGACATTTCACCTAGACTTTGTTTGTGTTTGTTCAGAACGTTCTGGTGTTTTTCACAAAGCGCTGACCTCGCCGGCCCTCCTCAGACACGCTTTCACCGGCTCTGTTTGTCCAGTGTTTTGTCGCAGTGTTGAGACGGCTAATGCTAGTGCCTATACAAGCTTGTGTCCATCCATCCATCCATCCATCCATCCATCCATCCATCCATCCATCCATCCATCCATCCATCCATCCATCCATCCATCCATCCATCCATCCATCCATCCATCCATCTACTTGTGGATTTAACCTCGTTTACGACATTGAAATTGAATCTCGGCTCTCAGAGTAAGTTTATTATTATCAGTTTTATAAACGCAGAGCATTCTATATCTGTTATATTCCCTTTATATCCTTATATTCAAGTTTATACCATTTCTTTCTCTTTTTGTTTTTCCCAAATCCCTCCTGACCTTACGCTGGAATGCGTGTAAATGGTGGGATTGGGCTCAGGATCTCGGCTCCGGGGGAGAATATGATATTCCGCGGCGCAGATAGTGAACATTCCGGGCCTCGGGCGCACAAAAAGACATTTCTGCTGTCTGTGGTCGCCATCGTCAGTGGCTAAACGCTGCTTCCTGCGAATCTGTCACTGGGACCGTCCTGAACGCTCAGGCACCGATGACACCGCTGGGGCGCCTCTCGGGTGCGGAAGGGGGGCAGATCGTGGAGACTGGACAGAAAGCATTTAGCCCTGGTTATACCTGTGAAAACCTGGATTATCGTAGTTAACTAAAACCATAAAAAATATGTATTGTTTATTATAAAGATTTTAATTTATTTTTATTTAGTTAGTTATTTTCAATAAAATAAATATCAACTGAAATAAAATATGTAAAAATATATTTTATTTAAGCTAGTTTCCAAGGCAGCATTTGCCATTTTAGTTTAACTTGATGTATTAAAATAACTAAAACTTAAATAAAATTAATAAAATATACATAGACATTTTTGAAAACAACAAAAATTAATAAAAATGACAAAAACACACTTACTAAAAACTTAAATTAATGTTTCTCATTTCAGTTATTTTAACTTAATGTCCTAAAATAACTAAAACTGAAATAAAAACAATAAAAATTATTTATTAAAAAAAACAAAAATGATTATAAATGACAAAAATGCACAACAAAATTACTAAAACTTTAACTAAAATTAACATGAAAGCAGAACATATAAAAATATAATATAATTCGAAATAATAACAAAAACTGTATCAGTATCTTAATGATTCTAATGATTCGGCTGAGAACTAACCATCAGATCAAAATGTGCTTCAACCCAGAGTTAGTATAAGTAACTAATACTACAACTAAACCCATAAAAAAAAACTTCAACTTGAAATATTTATTAAAAAAATTATTTGGTTTCAGCTAGTTGCAAAGTCAAATAACTAAAACCGAAAAAAAAAAAAAAAATTATTTAAAAACAAAAACTAATAAAAATGACAAAAGCACAACATATAATGACTAAAAATTTAACAAATATTGAAATGAAAACAGACTAATTCAAAATAATAATAAAAACTATAAAAGTATCTACCAAAATAGCACTGCTTCAGCCAGCAGTTGATGCTCAAAGGGAAAACTGTATTTATAAGAGATCTCATTTGATATTTTTCTCTTCTACAGGTGCCTCAAAAGTCAGAAACCTTGCAACAAGCATATAAAGCAGGCAAAATATAATCTAAATCTAAACCTCTATCCGACAGCCACAGAACGCACCTCCTCACCGGCCAAGAATGAAATCCCATTCGCATGCACTTTCTTACATTTGAAGAGCTAAAACCCTGACGCTCAGATTGAGCAGCCAATTAGAGAACTTTCTAACGCGAGCCTGCAGACAAAATGGTGTGGTTGTGAAGGCCTGAAAATTAATCTAGTCACCAATATGATGTTTTTCAATACTCCATTCATAGCTGGATGCAGCATGGATCCACGGGGGAATAATGTTGGCTTTTGTGTCGCCTGTGTTTGCCCTCCCTCTCTCTCCTTCTCACGCTGACAGATCCCAGCCGCTCACGAAAATACCCCAAGATAAACCGGGAGAGAACTGTCATCTCGCTTTTGACTTCAAACTGGATTTTGATTCAAATTCACAGTCAAAAGATTAACTTTGATTGTTTTCTGGTTTCTGATGTCCTTTCTTTTCAATTAAGACTTTAAAGAAACAGGTGCAACAGGTGAACCTTAGGTCTAAATATTTGATATTTAAAATAACATACTTTTGAGAAATAACTTAAATATATGTGTGATTTAATATATATAATTTAATTATATAGTTAAAATTATATATATATATATACATTAAATTATATAATAATTTTATATATAATTTTGCATAAAGAAACTTGTATTTTAAAGAAGCAATAAATTCAATAAATTTTTCCACAATAACAGAATTCAAAAATATTATTTTTAATTTACATTTTATTTTTTGCATAAAGCATATTTTGAAAAGTTGTTTTTAAGAAGCAATCATTTCAACATTTCAAAACAGCAATGCAAGATATTAATTGTAAAATGATCTTAAAATGTGCCCCATAATGAGAACGATAAACATACCTTAGTTGAAAAGCAGTTTTCTTCACAGACACGAGAAAAGTAGATTTTTCCCCCCAACGAAAATATAATTTTTAATGACTATTTTTCTCACAAAAGTCCACTGTGTTTTATATTCAGATGGCTTGCAGCTCACAGGACGATTCTCCAGCTCTCAGAGTTAAACCTTGGCTGAGAAAAGAGAAAAAGCGTAGTGCATCCGGCTGAAGAGCCACGAGATCTTTCATCTCTCTAACCTTGTGAGTCTATAAATACCTGGCTGCTCGAGTACGTATTACGTAAAAAAAAAGAAAAAAGACAACAGCGTTGCATGTTAATGCGCTGACACCTAGTCCTGCCTGGTTTATGTGAAGGAAGAGGAAAAGGGAGGAGGAAAGAAGACAACACTGAAAGCCAGCCCTTCACAGCTATCCCAGCATCTCTGGTTTCAGCTTGCGCTCACGAAAGGTGCAGTTCATCCAAAGTGCTCTGCAGGTGTGTGCTTTTGCATAATTACTGCCTAGCTTTCACATTTTGCATGCAAAACCAAATTTTGAATCTTTATTATCGGGCTTGAATCTTCCGGCCATCAACTCTCCTGCTCCTCTGCTGGATCAATAGTGTTCGGCCACAGCCACAATATCAGTTCAATGGCTTTCATCGCGCCAGAGTTTGGACAGCTTCCATAATCATTACCTCCCATGTGTGTTTGTGAAGCGTTTGACCCCAACCAGCCTTTGACCCATTGCAATTTCAGTCTATACAACACAAAGCCTTAATGGACCAAATACTACAAGTTGTGAGAGATTGACAACTTACTAGTTGTATTTATTGTATTTTATATTAACCATGTTCAATGTTATTGTAATTTTCTGGCTCTGTTCCACAACAATATGAGCTACCTAAATATGTATATATATATATTTTAAATCCAAGATGTTATTTAAAATGAGAGAAATAGTGAATGTAAGATTAATTTGTTTAATACCAGATAAAACATTTTAATCTATTTAAAAATGGCATGTTTTGTGCATTTTACGCCTAAAAAAGGATCACAATTCAAATTAAAGCAATCTGCGTGCTCCCAGCTGATGAAGGTGTCAAAACCAAATTAGAGGTCTGCAATGTATATAACTGTCTTTTTAATAAGATGTAAGTAATTCATAGGAGTGAAGAAGGCTTTCAGCCAAAATGTTAGTGTAAAAAAAAAAATAGGCCCAATATGTAAGATTATTTATACTTACTGCATTAAAAAACATTCCATTCATTTATAATACAAAGTTTTAACATAAACTAATGAACTTAATGTGATGCATAATTGTCAGTCGTGTATATGAATGAAACAAGAATGAGATTATGTAATGGTGCATAAATT